TGAACTTAAAAACATTAATCAAATGTTGACCAGAAGGGCTGAGAATGTAGCTCACTTATTGGCTACATGCCAATACTTCCTGGCATAAACAAAGCCCAAATTCGATCTCCAGGACCAAAAAAAAAAAAGAAAGAAAAACAGTGTTTGTTTTGTTTTGGAAACAGGGTCTCACTATGTAGTACAGCCTGGCCTGGAACTCACTGTGTAGCCCAGGCTGGCCTAGAACTTGTGTCGACCCTCCTGCCTCAGCTTCCCAAGTGCTGGGATCACAGGTGTGCGTCACTATGCCTGGCAAGAAAAACAGTGTTAACCAGGAAGAATCTGGTGGTTGAAGCAACTCTAGAATCCTGTATAATACACAATATAAAAAACAAACCTGGCTAGAGGTGTATCTCAGTGGTAGAGAATGTTCTTAGTCTGTGTGAGGCTCTGGTTTTGATCCTGGAAAATTTTGAACCGAGCCTGGTGGTGCACACCTGTAATCCCAGCACTCAGAAAGCTAAACCAGGAGATTTGCTGCTAAGTCAAGGCCATTTTGGGCTGCATAGTGAGACCCCACCTCAAAGAAAGAAAGAGAGGGAAGGAGGAAGTCATGTTAGAACACTCCTGTGCCCAGTACTCTGGGAGGATGAAGCAGGACAATCACAAGTTAGTGGCTTAGTGAGACCCTGTGTCAGAATTTTAAAAGGCTGGGGATGTAGCTTAGTGCAAGAGCCTGGGTTCGATCCCCAGTACAGTACTGTTGTAGAAATCTCGGAAAGAAATATACAGAGACACAGAATTCGGATAAAATAATAAAATTTCTTCTTGCGAGTGGGCGGCAATGCTAGAAACCAGTCTGGTCAGTATCCACCCCTCTTTGTTCAGCATTTCCCTTTTTATATACTTTTTAGCCATTATCTCATCCCTAGTGGTCTTTGATATGTAAATACAATTCCAGTTCCTATTTACAAGTCACAGACACAAGATAGGCCATATACATTGTAAATTCACCCTGGCTTGGTAACTTTGTTAGGTTAATGAAGTTACGGGTTAGTCTGATAATCCTCACCTTAAACAAGGGTTAGTCTGATAATCCTCACCTTAAACAAGGAGTTACGGGAAAAGCAAATCTTAAAAGAACACATTACTTATTTTGCTTCTACAACTACCTTAATATTCAGTCTATTAAGTTATCTAAAACTTTTCCATATCAGTACTACAAATGGATGGATGGATGGATGGCTAGATAGATAGCTCAGTGGAATGATCTTATGCTCAACCCCAGTATATGTGTGTGGGGGGGTAGGGGACATTAGTTAGATAATAAGAAAATATATGCCCAAATGAAATTTGATAATGAGAGACCAATTCCTGTTTCATAGCCTTTTCAAAGTTGGATTTTGGTATACTGCTAAGTGGATATTTCTAATGAGTTTTACCATTAGTCTGTGTTTTCAATCTGTCACCTTCCCTTTTTTTAATTAAGTTTAATTATTGGTACATTTTAGGTATACAGTATAGTTACATTCATCATTGGAATCTTGTACCTTTACATGATGTATCTTGGTTCTTATTTTTTCCCCATTCCCCAGCCCTCCCTTCATCCCCTCCGCCCTTCCCTATTTACAAATAATTTGTTTCTATTTTTTTCCTTTTCTATTTTTTTCTTTTCCCTTCTTTCCTTTCCCCTACTCCTCCCATTTCCCCTATTCCTTTAGAACTTTTCTTCCTATTTCACAATATCAATTATACATTTTGATCCTTATTTACACTTTTAGTTTTTCACACCAGAGAAACTATTCGGTATTTACATATGTGTGTCCTATTTATTTCACTTATTATGGCCTAGGGCTGGGGATTTAGCTCAGTGGTTCCACCACCTGCCTCGCAAGCTCAAGGACCTGAGTTTGATCCCCAGTACCAGAAAAGAAAAAAAGAATATGGCCTCAATGTGTGTCCACTTTAGCTATAAGTGTCTCTAGTTTCTCGTTCTTTATAGCTGAGTAGTACACCATTTTATTAAAAAGCCACATCTTTTTTTTTTTTTGGTACTGGGGATCAAATTCAGGACCTTTTGCTTGGGAGGCAGGCGGTGGAACCACTGAGCTAAATCCCCGGCCCAAAGCCACATCTTCTTTATCCAGTTTCCAGTTGATGGGCAGTTGGGCTGTTTCCAAGTTTTAAGTATTACAAGCTGTGTTGCTATAAACATGGGTGCCCATATATCACTGTGGTATGATTCTTTTAATTTTGGGGGGAAGATACCCAGTAGAGGAATAGCTGGGTCAAATGGGACTTCCAATCCTAGTTGTTTGAGGTATCTTCATATTGATTTCCACCACCTTCCCTTCTTGAAAATACTCTTGAACTAATTATGTGCACAAGGCTTGATTGGTTGGCTCCACATTGTTATTTAATTACTTGAAGATTTCACTGTTCATATGTAGAACATTTGATAGAATCAAGTTCTTGTGATTTCATTCTGGTGTCATCATAATGGACTTAGGGGAGAAAGGGAAGATAATTTATTTACCTTTTTCACTAAGAATGATTATAATCTGTATCTTCTGTTGTTGTTCTTGTTCTTGTTATTCAGTGCTGGGTATTGAACCCAGGGCTGCTGCATGCTAGGCAGACACTCCACAACTGAGCTACATCTTCAGACTTACATCCTCTTTTTTATTTGTTTGGCTGGTTTTTATTTGTTTGAACTCAAAGCCTGAGCTGTATCCCAGCTCTTCTTATCTTGACACAGGTTCTCACTAAGTGACTAAGTTACCTAGACTGGGCTTGAATTTGAGGTCTTCCTCCCTCACCCTTCCAGAGTGCTGCAATTGCAGGGATGCACCAATATGCTCAGCCTATATCCTCTTTTGCAAACTTTTTTCTTTGACCTCATTCATAAGAACCCTCCTTGATTTAGGATTTCTTTCTTTTAGCAGGTACTTAAGCAAAGAGTGAGTAGAACTTTATAAACACTTTAAACAGTTATAAGTGTTGATCTTGAATAACTAAAAGTTGAGTTTCCACAGGACTCCTAGTAAGCTCTCCACTGGAAGGGCCTGGGATGTGACTTTGGAGTTCTGTCTTCATCTCCCACACACCTTCACAACAGCAAGACAAATCTGTCTCAAGTTGAAGCAAGATCTAAAATATTGTGCATAGCAATTAGTGAAGAAAGACTCTAAATACAAGATAGAGTAATGGTATATGCTTGTAAATCCAGATACTCAGGAGGCTGAACAGGAGGATCACAGTTCAAGACCAGACTGGGCAACTGAGGAGACCCTGTCTCAAAATAAAATTGAGCCAGGCACGGTGGCACACACCTGTAATCCCAGTACTCAGGAGGCTGAGGGAGGAGGATTGTAGCAAGTTTGAGGCTAGCCTAAGATGCATAGTGAGTGCAAGTTCAGCCTGAAGTACATAGTGAGACTCTGTCTCAGAAAAATAAAGCAAGGGCCAGGAATTTAGCTCAGGGTGCTGCTGTCTGCCTCAAAAGTGCAAGGTCCTAAGTTCAATCCTCAGTACCGATAGATAGATAGATAGATAGATAGATAGATAGATAGATAGATAGATAGATAGATAGAACTGAATCCTAGCAGACTAGATGGCCTTTTTTTTGGTACCGGGAGTCGAACTCAGGACCTTGTGCTTGCAAGGGAGGCAGTGGCACCACTGAGCTAAATCCCCAGCCCAATGGCCTATATTTCATATAAGGACTTCTCAGGCGGGAACTTCTCTGTGAATATGTTACAAAGTATAGTTGTAAAACATTTTAGACATTTTTTATTTGTAAAAATATTAGATTGTAAAAAAAACCGTATTAGATTGTACAAGTATAACCCCTTCTTTCATGTTGTTACACTGTAATTTTTTAAAAAACTTGATGGGCTGGGGATTTAGCTCAGAGGTGTTGTGCCTGCCTGGCATGTGCAAGGTCCTGAGTTCATTCCCTGGTACCAAAAAAAGAAGAAAAAAAACCTTGAATATAATTTCCCCTACTATTTTTAACCAAATAGACATTTACCTGTGTGTGTGTGTGTGTACGTGTGTGTTTTGAGCACTTAGTGAATGGGTTAGCAGATTTACAGTTTATTCCCTCATAACCTCTCCAAGTAAGGCTATTTGAGAATGAACAACATATTACTTAGCTCTAATTTTTGAGAATACGTAGGTTTTTGAAAACCTTGTCATTAACATATATTAAATATTATGAATGCTCTGAAATGTGTTCCATTCTCAGTGATTTTTGGTACTGGGGATTGAACTCAGGGACCTTGGGCTTGTGAAGCAGGCAGCGGCACCACTGAGCTAAATCCCCAGCCCCTCAGTGATGTTTTTATAATTGACCAGATGTTGTCTTAATTAAAATACCAACTCTTAAAAGCAATACCATATGTTCACTCTACTGCCACTCACAGGGTCCAGTCTAGGATGCCACTGAGGGAAGATCAGCTCAGAAGTTAGAATGTGTTTGGCAGTTAAGCTTTTTAAAATACACCCAAGGGTTACAATTAGATTTCATGTAAGAAATTAAAGTCGTTGAGATCTAGGATGACCTTGAATAAATCATGAAAGAAGAAATAACCACTGTCCTGTGTTATCTCCATTTGTTACCCTTTAACCAAGGACCTCATTTTGCCTGTCTTCTGCACACAGCAAACTAATACATCAGCAGTCATTAATGTCATTAGTCTGAAAATAAAATTATGTAAATCCGACTACCTACTCATGTCCCTAGACTTTGATTTAGCAATTGAAATAAGATTGAATTTGGCAACTACTTCTAAAGCATTTTTTATTGATTGTGTATTTTCTCTTATGAAAAAATAGCGATAGTATTAAAAGGGTATAATTTTTTAGTGCATTTGTTATACCCTCTACTCCCCTAAAGATGTTACTTGTTTCAGATGTAAAATACAATATGTGTTCCTTGATGAATTTCTATAAAATAGAGGTTCCACTTTAATTCCAGGACAGTTGTTCCACATAATTCTTTTTTTCTTCTCCTCTAGACTTCTCCAGAGAATCCTGGGACAGTAGGTGGAGTGCAAAGCAGTATTGTGTTGCCTTCCTTCGTTGTTGTTGTTGTTGTTGTTGTTGTTGCCTCCTGCTCTTTTTTCTGCTTGCCCCCACTTTGGCTGCCCCTTTCTCTGCCACTAATGCTAACTAACTATACCTTGCATGTGTTACCGTTATGAGGGCCTTGTGGCCTTTCATTTCAGTCCTGCACATGTATCATGTTGATTATGTTTCATGTCAAATCCGTAATATCAAACCAGGCACAGTGTTGTACTCCCATAATCCCAGCTCCTAGGCAGGCTGAGGCAGGAGGATTATAAATTTGAGGCCAGCCTGGGAAATTTAGTGAGACCTTGTTGCAAAAGAAAATAATAAAAAGGGCTGCGAATGTAGCTTAGCCCTCCCTGCATTCAATCCCCAGTATAAAAATAAATAAAAATAAATAAAACCCTCGTAATATCGGTTGTCACTAAAGCAATGCCATGATAGACTAGAATCCTACTTCTCTCTGAAAAATCTCCCTCTATTTCAAATCACCTCTATCTAATGCCCACCCCCAGCCCTAGCACCTTTCAATGCTCCAAAACTACCTAGAGACCTTTTTGTGAAGGGAGAAAAATCTGATAAATGGATATAGGTAAGGTGTTTACTCCTTCCTGAACAAGTATAATCCTAAAAAAGGCAGGGAGGGGGTAATGTTTAATAGAGTATCTTCATTATTATAACTCACTAATCATGGAATTCCCCGCTTAGTGATGGTATTGAGAAGACATCCACATTTTGTGTGTGTATGCCTTTGAAAGATTTTGAACTAGTTCTCATCATTTCACTGAAATTTTGCCCTAAAATGATGTCAGCTGGGTTTGGTTCCTTTAGTAATTTATCCATTATGGATTTTGATATTTGATGTCTACATAATATTAGGAGTCTGACTGTCTGCATGAATGTTCATCATTGCTCTGATCCTTTCCAACTACTGCAGGAAGAGAGGGGAAGGGAGATTTTAGAAATTATACTGAAGTCATAAATTAGCTGTTCTCGTCCCTCTCTCTTCTACAAATAATAGAAGAAGCAGACCAGCACACTTCAGACCCAGGCATGATCATGGACAGTGTGGAAGCAGGTGACACAACGCCTCCCACCAAGAGAAAAAGCAAGTTCTCAGGCTTTGGCAAGATCTTCAAACCCTGGAAATGGAGGAAAAAAAAAAGTAGTGACAAATTTAAAGAGACATCAGAAGGTGAGACATTAAGACTTATATACATGTTCCAGGTTAAAGAGTTTCTTTGTTTGTTTTTTTGGTTTTTAGGGTCTTCCTATGTATTTCAGGCTGTCCTCGAACTTTTGGCAATCCTTCCTTTTTTTTTCTGGTACCGAGGATTGAACTCAGGACCTTGGGCTTGTGAAGCAGGCAGCGGAACCACTGAGCTAATAAATCCCCAGGCCAATCCTTCCTTTTTGTTTTTTAATTCTTTTTGGTACCAGGTCTTGAACTCAGGACCTTGCACTTGTAAGACAGGCGGTGGCAAAACTGAGCTAAATCCCCAGCCCAAATGCTTCCTTTTTAAAAAGGGAGTTCAGTCTTTTAAACTTATATTGTTTTTTGAGACAGGGTCTTGCTGTGTAGTCCAGGCTGGCCTTGAACTCACTGTGTAGCCCAGGCTGGCCTTGAACTCATAGAGATCCTCCTGCCTCAGCCTCTCAAGTACTAGTATACAGGCATCCACCACCACACCCAGCCATCTTTCAACAGCCAAATGGCTATTCACTGAATCTTGTATTTTGTAGCTTCATTCCCAAATTTATATTTTGATGGGATTAAAATCTATTTAGTAACCAGGCAGGGTGGCACCTACCTAGAATCCCAGCCAATCTGGAAGCAGAGGCAGGAGAATTTGAAAGTTCAAACCCTGCCTGGGCAACTTAGTAACACCCTGTCTCTAAATAAAATGTAATGTAAAGTGTAAAGTAAAAACTACACTAAAGTAAAATAGAATAAAATCTCCAAAGATGTAGCCTCAGTGGTAGAGCACTTGCATAGCATGTGTAAGCCCCTAGATTAAATCCTCAGTACTGAAAAAAACAAAACAAAATCTCTTCAGTGGTAAATGGAGTTTCTGTACTGCTATAGATTTAAGATGCTTCTACTTTTCTACCTCGTCCATTTTCTATCAACACAGTTTATCCATAAGTTCCTTACTATTGAAGTTCCAGTTAAGCAGCAATTATCTAAAATTACTTTTTTTTTTTTTTGTTACCACAGATCAAACTCAGGACTTTGTGTTTGCGAGACAGGCAGTGGCACCACAGAGCTAAATCCTGGACCTAAAATTGCTTTTTTTAAAAAAACAGTACTTTCCCAGTAACCCAGGATATGAAAGAAATTGAGGAAGTCTTTTTTTCTTTTTTCTTTTTTTGTTCATAGTGCTGGAGATGGAACCCAGGGCCTCACACATGTTAATCAACTGCTCCGCCACTGAATTATGCTCCCAGCCCCAGAAATTAAGTTTTCAAAGTTGAAGTTAGTTTCCCTGTTTTTCCTAAGAATAGAACAAATTTGAACTACTTTATTCTTTTACCTGTGGATATATAATGCTGAGTAATGTTGACCTTGCAACTGCTACATTTCTGAGTGCTGTTTTCTTATTTAATGTTAGCTTTAGAGCGGAAAATATCTATGCGAAAACCAAGAGAAGAGCTGGTTAAAAGAGGAGTTTTGTTAGAAGACCCTGAGCAGGGTGAGTTTCAAATGATTACCGTATGCCTGTCTCTATGGGCTTAGTCTTTGATTGGGTCTGAGTATTTGAATTTTCTTTCTTTGCTTTGTTATTGCTGTAGTTGGGGTAGAGGAGAGCTTTTTGAAAAGTTCTCTTTCTTCCAATTGTCTGGCTATGTCTTCAACTCTGCAATTAAGTGATTGTGAAGGATCCTTGGGGCGAACACCCTAGTTTCTCTGTAGTACTTCCTCAGCTTTGTGACAGCTGCATTAAGTAATACTTCTTTTTATAAAATCAAATTTGTCACCATGCCCATATTGCTGCCCTAATCTTCTGTTTGTCACAAAGATTATGTTTTGATATTTTAATATTCATCACTGGCTTAATAATGTCAGGACCTTCTGTAATGTGTGCCTTGTTTTTCCCAATGTGTGACTTTCATGAAGCAGTTTAGTATAAATGTAACATTATAGTATCAGACTGATTGCATTTCATTTCACATGTGCAGTAATTTACCACTTTTGCATAGTTGTCATCTTCCTCCTTATAAAAATTGTTTAGGGCCGGGGATTTAGCTCAGTGGTTCTGCCGCCTGCCCTGCAAGCGCAAGGACCTGAGTTCGATCTCCGGTACCAAAAAGGGAAAAAAAAGAAATTATTTATTTATTTGATGGTGCTGGAGAATGGTCCCAGTGCCGCACTACTTGCTCAGCGCACACACTAATAATTGAATTACACTCCAACTTCTCATTCTTTTTTTTATTTTTTATTTATTTTTTTTTTTGGTACCAGGGATCGAACTCAGGACCTCGAGCTTGCAAGGCAGGCGCCAGAACCACTGAGCTAAATCCCTGGCCCTCATTCTTTTTTTTAATAATAAAAAATAGTCACTACGTTACTTTAGCTTTAGATGTATATTTTTCACTTGTTACTTATTTGCCTTAGACTCTTCACTACTTTTAACCCTAACTACCTCTGATTGGGACCACCTGAAGAATGGACTGTCTTGCCTCCTGGTAGGAGGCGATAGGTCAGGGTAAAAGGGGTTGGCCTATGAGAACTCAATGGACTAGCTCCCTAGAACACTGAGAGATGCTAACATGAGGGTACCATAAGTAGTCACTATGGAAAGCAAAGGACCAGAAAACAACTTGTGCCTATTCCCATGGCACTAGGAGATAGGACAGAGTTTTTAATCTCTAATCTTAGTGTTTTCAACTTTCTTTTCCTCAAGAGGCTAGGAAACCTCTGCAGGAACTGGGAATGTTTGTCCAATTTTGATCCTTGAAAGAATCTGACCATTTTCATAGCAACAGGTATTCATTACAGGTCTTCCCACAGCCTCCAGTCTAATGATCATCCCTGTAGCTTAATTTCAAGGAAAAATCATCGCGTATATCATATTTACCTCTGATCTAGTTATGAGTTCCACCCCATGCTCTCCATTTCTGCCTTCAGTCTCCCTCTGCTATTTCTCATGTTTTTGTTTTGTTTTGAGAAAGGGTCTCACTGTGTAGTTCAGGCTGGCCTTGATCTCACTATATAGCCTAGGCTGCAATCCTCCTGCCTCAGCCTCCCAAATGCTGAGATTACACGCATGCACCACCACACCTGGCTTCTCATGTATATTTGAACAATAGGTCATTATTGTTTGTCCTGTTCCCATCACTTCCTCTCTATAATTCATTCTCCTCTCAACTTTCAGAGCTAACCTTCTTTCTTTTTTTTTTTTTTTTTTTTGGTACAGGGGATCGAACTCAGGACCTTGCACTTTCAAGGCAGGTGTGGTGCACTGAGCTAAATCCCCGGCCAGAACTAACCTTCTATAAGATGGAATGAATCATGTCTTCTTCTACTTCTAATTCCATGTCCTCTTGTTTTGTACAGGATTCAGTCCAAGCTCCTTTACATGGTATTTGGTATCCTTCATAGCCTAGCTCTTGACCACTTTTCATCCATAACCATTACTCATATGCATCTATTGTCCTGCCAGACCAATGTACCACTTTCTGTGATCCTTTCCTAAACCCATTCCTACCTTAGGAGAATGTTCATTCATTCCTACCATAGTCCTTCAGTCAATCTAGCTCTTGAGCAGGGCATGGTAGCACATTCCTATAATACCAGCACTCAGGAGGCTGAGGCAGGAGGATCACCATGAGTTCAAGGCTAGCCTGAACTATTCAATGAGACCCTGTCTAAAAAAATAATTTAAATATATATATATATATATATATATGTATATATGTATATATGATCTCTTGACACTTATTTACTTATCCATAGTGATTTTGTCTTATTTTTCTTATTCATATAACCAGGTAGTTGGCATACAATAGGCAGTAAGATATTTATTGAAAAAAGGAATTGTTTATTTCCATCATTACTAGAAAGTTCCAGGTAACCTAGGTCTAAAAATAAGCTGAAATGGGAAGAGGGAAACAGGAGGATAAGGGTGGTTAGAAATCACCAGCTCCTCTTTCTGTCTGACTATGCCAGTTCTTCACTTAGCTGGTTCCTCTTTCTCCATGCAGGTGGTGAGGATCCAGGAAAGTTAAGTCATGCTGTATTAAAGAATGGCCACACTACTCCCTTAGGGAATGCCAGATCTTCTAGTCCAGTCATAGTAGAGGAAGAGCCAGTAAGAATAGCAAGTTTTAGGAATCCTATTCCAGAAGAGGACTCAAAGAAGCAACTAGGTAAGAAACTGGATTCTTGAGTTAAAGAACCATGGACCAGTCATATTCATCCTTTCATTCTCTCCCTCTCCCCCCTCCCTCATTTTGATTTTGCTTTGTTTTGGTTTTATCGGGGTTTTTTGTTTTTGTTTTTTGTGTGTGTGTGTGTGTGAAGTAGAGTCTTTCTGTGCAGTCTATGCCAACCTCAAACTCACTGCAGTCCTCCTGCCTCAGCCTCCCAAGTGCTGGGATTACAGCACCACCACACCCAGCTGTGTTTTTTTGTTTTGTTTTTATTTTTTAATCTGGGTGTCACTGTCTAATCCAGTGATCCTCCTGACTCAGCACTCTGAGTGCTAGGATTACAGGTGTACATCACCACACCCAGCACAATCATTTTCTTTCTTTTTTTTTTTGGTACCGGGGATTGAATTTGGGTCCTTGTGCTTGTGCAACAGGCAGCGAAACCACTGAGCTAAATCCCTGGCCCTACAATCATTTTCTTTAAGTCAGGGGTTTGCCAGAGAACAAGGAATGATAAAACCCAAGAGGAATTTCATTCTTTAGAAATTGCTTAACTACTTTCAACTTTTAGTGAAATTTTCCCCCTCTTAACATTCACAAAATACTTAAATTTGTGATTCTTAAGGAGAAAAAAATGTATCAGATTCTTGTAGGACTTTGTCAGGCTACATGTATATCTTCATTTACCAAGAAATTTTGATGTGTCTCCTCCAGTAGCCTGGCTCTTTTGTGAAGAATCACTGCCATAATGATTGACTTTTGTTTAGTATGTTGAAGATGGGAACCACAGATAACTGTAGCCTGCAAACTCATCTATAAATTAAGTAATTGATGAAGCTGACCATAAATCCATAGACGTGTTAACTTTTTTTATTTTTGGTACCAGGAATTGAACTCAGGACCTTGTGCTTGTGAGGCAGGCGCCAGAACCACTGAGCTAAATCCCCAGCCCTAGCTTTTTTGATTTCTGATGCTACACTTTCTTCCTTTCCAGATCAAGTCTTTTATTACCCAGACTCAACTGGAAGCCAGTCTAATTCTGAAGCAGAGCCTCTTCCTGAGAATGTACCCAAACAGCCTCTGTTACCCCCAAAAAGACCCTTGTCCTCTTCTCATGAAGCAAGTGAAGGACAAACAAAGGATGTTACTTCTGGCAGCGCAACAAGGTCCATCTCCTCCAGCTGTGTGTCCTCTACCACCATAGCACCTGCTGCCACAAACCTAACAAAGACTGTTAACTCCTTCGTCACCCCTTCCCCAGCACCCAGGACTCTGCCTGCTGCTCCTGCCAGCACTAACACTACTGCTGCCCCAAACCTTACTCATATCATCCCTGCCAAGCAGCCCCCTGTTCCTCCCCCTAAGCCAGCTCACAGAAATAGCAACCCTATTATTGGTAAGTCTTCAGGATCTCATGGGAGTTTTATTGCCTTTGGGTAGTTATTTTATTGGATGATTGTTACAATATTGATTTGGGAGTTTTTTGGTTTTGGTTTGGTTTTTTGTTTGTGTTTTTTTTACCAGCGATTGAACCCTGGCCCTTGATTTTGGTTTTTTGGTTTTGGTTTTTTGAGGCAGGGTCTCACTATGTAGTTCAGGCTGGCCTTGAACTCACTATGTAGCCCAGACTGGCCTCAAACTCACAGTGATCCTCCTGCCTCAGCCTCCCAAGTGCTGGAATTATATAATATTAATTTGATCTGTGAAAAAGTTCCATGTCTTGTCCCTTGTAATATCCTCACGCAAGAGGATCTCTTCAAGTTAAAGGTCAGCCTGGGCTACATAGTGAGTTTAAGGCCAACCTGAACTGCATACCAAGAACCTATCTAAAAAAAAAAACAAAAACAAAAAACGCTATATAGGATCGGGGATTTAGCTCAGTGGCCCCACACCTGCCTCACAAGCGCAAGGTCCTGAGTTCAATCCCCGGTACTCAAAAAAAACACTACATATATATTTGAAAAACTGGGTAAATAGAGACCATAACAGGTGTAACATGCATGGAATTATCTGTGGCACTTACTGAAAAAATTAGAATAATGCCACAAGGTATTATTATGGGCAAGGCAAGCTTTCCAATTAAAAAATTTTGTTTTTAAAATCTACTTTGAACTACCAATTCCTTCTTTAAGCATAAGCAAGTCTAGTAGGGAAAAAGATCCTTTTATGGATGCCTATGTAACTTGTGATTTAGTGCCTGGTATAGCATCTTCCTGGGAACTGCAAAATGTATTATTTAAATTGTCCTGATTAAATCATGTTTTATCTTGGGAGGATTAAAAATGCTACTATTGTATTAAAATAAGTGGTGATAAAGCAGAGGAGGTAATCAGTACATCTTGTGGGCTGAGTAAATTTTTTACATTTATCTAAAGTCTTGTTTAGGTCCATTTTCCTTTACATAAATGCACACTTCGAGGAGTCTTCAAGGAAGGGAAGGCAGGAGGGCTTTAATGAGCGCTTCAGAGCTAATAAAAATATAGTTTTCAGGAAAAATATTAGGTTTCTGCTGCTTAACATCCTTGTTATTGATTGAATGTTTGAAAAAAGTATGTTCATTAAATATCTAATACTAGAGGGCCAGGGATCTAGCTCAGTGGTTCTACTACCTGCCTCACAAGCACAAGATCCCGAGTTTGATCCCCAGTACCAAAAATAAATATCTAATACTATATGACCAAGTTGGGTAGAGTGATCAGAACCTTGAAAAATAAGCTTAAAATATATTGTATGACAGGTTAGAATAGCTTGATAACAACAGGATGAACGTTGTTATTGTTATCCCCACTTTGAGTGCATAATGTCATGTTGACTTCCTCCAAGTTCCTCCAAGGAACTTGAGGAGCCTTCATACGCTACTTATTTTCAAAACCTCCTTGTCCTGTAGGAAACTGATTTTATCTGGTATATAGAAGAGCAATTAGAATATGAAGATATTGTGACTCATTCAGAGTTGAAGGAAGTGAGGCAAACTCAACTCTCACAGGTCCAGACCTCTGTTCTCTATTCTGCTGTTCTCAAACTGTTCATCATCAGGATCACCCCTAGAAGGTTTATTAAAACACATATTGCTGGACTTGCCTCTAGAGTTTCTGATCCCAGTAAGTCCTGGTAGGGTGGAGAATCTGTGTTCTGTAGGTCCCCAAATAATGCCAGTGCTTCTTTCCAGGGACCATGTGTTGAGACTCCTTCTCTAGACCAGTGGTGTCCTCTTTTTCAAGTTAAGGCAACATTTAAAACAGTGTGTGTATGGGCCAGGGATTTAGCTCAGTGGTTTCGCTGCCTGCTGCGCAAGGGCAAGGACCCAAGTTCAATCCCTGGTACCAAAAATAAAATAAAATAAAACAGTGTGTGTATGATTCCCTGGAGTAAAATGCAGAAGCTACTCCTGGCCTTGGACAAATTAATAACCCAAGGCCTTGTGAATAAATCAGTATCAGCTTCTGGCAGGTTCTCAGCAGGAGAAAAATAAATTAGTTCAGAATTCTTATTAAAGTTACACAGATTTCATTAATTTTTTTTTTTTTTTGGTACCGGAGATTGAACTTGGGTCCTTGAGCTTGCTAGGCAGGCAGCAGAACCACTGAGCTAAATCCCTGGCCCTAAAGTTGCACAGATTGAGGCCGGGGATTTAGCTCAGTGGTTTCGCCACCTGCTGTGCAAGCGCAAGGACCCGAGTTCGATCCCCAGTACCAAAAAAAAAAGTTACAGATTGATTTAAAGGATTATACCTTTTTCGTAAATTATGACCATCCTAATTCTTTGGTGCTAAACTGCCATTTCTTTCACAAAAGGATTATGATTATAAATTGTTTACTTAATATCAGTCTTATCTGGACATGTTTAAAAGTAACAACCTGAAGTTAAGAATTTTTTTTTGAAAATAAAATTTATTTTTAAATGGGGGGGCCAGGGATTTAGCTCAGTGGTTCCACCGCCACCTGCCTCAAAAGTGAAAGGACTGAGTTCAATCCTCAGTACCACAAAAAAAAAAAGGTGGGGTGGGGATATAGCTCATTGGTGCCATGCCTGCCTGGCAAGTGCAAGGTCCTGTGTTGGATCCCCGGTACCAGAAAAAAGAAGAAAAAAATTTTTTTTGTCTTTTTGAGACAAAGTCTTACCGTGTAGCCCAGGCTGATCTCAAAGTTGTGATTCTCCTGACTCAGCCTCTTGAGTGCTGAAGAACTTAATTTTTTTAATTGTATTGATCTTTGAAATACAAACATTTGGAAACCACTGCTTGAGAAATGCTACAGTCATCTCACAGGCATAACATGGAGTGTTAAAAATAAGGAAGGGGCCAGGAATTTAGCTCAGTGGTTCAGGCGCCGGCCTCGAAAGTGCAAGGTCCTGAGTTCGATCCCCAGTACAAATAAATAAATAAATAAAATAAGGAAGGACTGCCACATATAGCTGCACAGCTGAAGGAAATTTGTGATCTGTGCCAGGAATCCTTTAGCATCTTTCTCAAGAACTAGATCAAAAGTTAAAATATTCAAATAAGGTCATGTCAGGGGTGAATTGTTTGTTTGTTTTTTGCTGTACTAGAGATTGAATTCAGGGCCTTGCCTGTCCTAGGCAAACACTCTACCTTGAACTATATCTCCAGCCCTCAGGAGTGAGTTTTGCTTTAGAAAGAATGGCAACCTGCTGTTTTAGAGAAGCCACAAGAATCTCGTCATCCCAAATATATCTCTTTCATTCATCCAAAATTCATAAAATTTTTTCTATCTTTATATACAGTGATTTTTCTAGAATGTCCTTATTAAAATTTATTTATGGGCTGGGGATGTAGTTCAGTGTTAGAGTGCTTGACTAGTATGAGCAAGGGCCTGTGTTCAATCCTGAATAGTAAGGAAAATAAAAAACAGGACTGGGGGTGCTGAGGATGTAGCTCAGTGGCACTGCACCTGCCTGGCAAGGCCCTGAGTTCAATTCCCATTACCAGAAACAAAAAGGACTGGAAGTGTATCTTAGTGGTAGAGCACTCAGCTGACATGGATGAAACCCTAGGTTCAATCCCCAGTACTGGGGAAAAAACAATTAGTTAAATCTTTTACTTTGAATGGCCCCAGTGGAATAGTATTACAGCAAAGAGTTTAATTTCAGGGACACTTATGAGACCCATTTAAGGATATTGGAGAGAACTAAAATTACTTGGTTAGATGATTAGAAGTTGGTGATCAAGTGAATATTCTTTAATTATTTTGCAAGGTTAGCCACCTCTTACATGTCATTTGGAGCCCTCCCAAAGGAGTGACTTTTCTGGATCAATACCTGAGTTACTGTGGGCTTTGAAAACATTGGTAAGAATATATACTGTCTTGGGCTGGGGATTTAGCCCAGTGGTTTCACTGCCTGCTGCGCAAGCACAAGGACCCGAGTTCGATCCCCAGTACCAAAAAAAAAAAGTATATACTGTCTTAATACAGGGTGAAGACTTCTCATCTAATAAACTTACATTGAAAGTCAGGCATAGTGGCGCGCACTTGCAATCCCAGTCCTCGGGGAGGCTGAAACAGGAGCATCACAAGTTCAAGCCCAGCCTGGACAAATTATCAAGAGCTTGTCTCAAGATAAGAAAGGTCTAGGGGGGAAGAAAAGGGGATATAGTTCATTGTGAAGGCTAGGAGTTCAACCCCAGTATCACAAATGATAATAACAATAAAACTTTTATGGGTTTGTTTGTTTGTTTGAGACAGATCTCTCTATGTGATTGTTCAGGCTGGCCATGAGCTCACTATGTAGCCCAAGGTGGCCTTGAACTCGTGACCATCTTCCTGCCTCTCCCTTCCAAGTGCTGGGATTACCGGCATGTGCCACCATGCTCGGCAACAATAAACCTTATATTGAGGGCCCACTGTGCACAGCTCTGTGGATATGCTGATGGAGACAAGGGTCAACCTCCATCAGGGATCTCACAGAGTAATGGGGAATGAACATGGGAGCATAAATGATCAGAAGTGTGTGGACTAATAAAGATCAGAGACAGTGGGTTCCAGAGGATGGAGTGATAGAAACTGGATACTAGCTGAGTCCATGCCTCTTTGTAGCATGATCTGGGGCAAATTACCTAACTTCTGCAGCATCAGAAACTGAAAACTGGTCAAAATAGTACTTTGTTTCCCTGTTACCTCAGATGATACAAGTAAAATATGATGTCAGGGGTAGAAAAGCACTTTAATTTTTTTCAAAGGGCTTTGCGTTTGCTATAAGAATTCAAGATAATAGTTTTGTAATACAGAGCTGAGATACATAGTTATCATCCATCTGGTAAGAATGCCTAATAATGTTTTAATTGCTATCTGAATATTTAAATTTCTTAATGGAGTATTGTTACACATAAGAACTTATTATCAGTGGGCCGGGGATTTAGCTCAGTGGTTCCGCCGCTGGCCTCACAAGCGCAGGGTCCCAAGTTCAATCCCCGGTACCAAAAAAATAAAAACTTATTATCAGCTTTTTTTCTGTATTTATATTAACTTTATATCAACATCAAGTTATAAAGTTGTTATATCAGTGAAATAGGATACTCATCAGAGTTTTCCTACACATATATCCATTAGGGCTTCTACTTGCAGAAATACAAATTTTGTTTCAGAGATAAGAGATGCAGGAAATGGCAAAGTCATAAAAGTGTATAATTTACTTAAAAGATCAAAACTGAGCTCTAACTTTAGGCTTGGGCTTGCCCCTCAAAGCATTGTAAAGACATATTAAGTTGACATGTTGCTCTCTCTTTTCCAGCTGAACTGTCCCAAGCAATAAACAGTGGTACATTGTTATCAAAACCATCCCCACCCTTACCACCCAAAAGAGGCATTCCAACAACCTCAGTACCCACCTCGGAGTCTGCTGCTGCCTTCACCACAAAAACACCAAGTGATCAAAAAGAGAAGGGCACCTGCTCTGGGAGTTCCAAGCTACTGCTGACAATCCCTCCTTCCCTATCCCCACCACTGCCTACTCATATACCTCCGGAGCCTCCAGGGTCCCCTCCATTTCCTGCTAAGACTTTGCAAGTTGTTCCAGAAGTTGAGTTTCTACCTTCCTTAGATCTGCCCCAGGAGGTTCCTCATCAGGATGATCAGAAAAAGGAAGTCCCCAAGAGGATTCTGGACCAGAGCTTTGGGGAGCCCCACATACCCTCTAGGCTACCCCCACTCCCACTACATGTTCGAATTCAGCAAGCCCTGACCAGCCCCCTTCCCATGACTCCTCCCTTGGGGGGCTCTCATAGAGCTCATTCGTTGCTCTTTGAAAATACTGACAACTTTTATGAGGACAGCAGTACCCTGGGTCGGACCAGATCACTTCCCGTCACTATTGAAATGCTGAAAGTGTGAGTGCCTTTAAAGCTTGCCTCTTGTTTCTCCTTTACTTTAGGTAGCCCGCCTAGAAAAAGTTACTTAGAAAATGTGAATAAATTTAAAGGACAGAGTATTCTGCCAAAAGGATCAGTTTTAGAATCAGACTTTTTTTTTTCTCGGTACCAGGACCTTATACTTGAGCTGTATCCCCAGTCCTGTCAGACATTTTTTTTTAAACCCTGCTGATTTCTGTAAGCTTTTGTTTGTTAAATGGAGAGTTCCAAAGTAACATAAAAATTATATGTTTAGGTACATAAAATTAAAACTAGTTTTATATGATATAAGAATAGCAGTGTTATAAAGTGCTTAAGGGCCATGGCCTTGTAGTAAGCTAGTTCTGCACTCAAACCCCAGCTGTACCACTTGTAGTATGTAGTAACTGTATAATAGTGTATGTTACTTAGCCTTTGTTTTAGGTTACTTCATCTGTAAATGAAAATGTCATCTTTGGAGGCTTGTGAGAATGAAAATTCTGGAAAGCACCTAATAACTAGTAGAACTAGGATTTGTGGGCCGAGGATTTAGCTCAGTGGTTTCGCCACCTGCTGCGCCAGTGCAAGGACCGGAGTTCGATCCCCAGTACCAAAAATAAAACAGAACTAGGATTTGTACCCAATGCTCTTTAATTTAATAGGTGCTTAAAAGTTTCTTAGCAAGGTATTTAGTTTGGGGAAGGATTTGTAAGTTATTTTGTTAATGGACTTTGCCATTGATATTTCAGTCCTTTGTCTTGCAAATCAGTTATCCTCTAGTTTCTGAAACATAATTATGTTAATTTGTTAGTCCAGACGATGAAGAAGAGGAACAAACCTGCCCATTGCCATTTGTTGAAGACATGACATCTACCTCAGTCATTCCTAAACTACCACAGTGTCTACAGGAAGAACAGGAAGAAAAGGAGAGTGACTCAGATTCAGAGGGTCCCATTCAGTACCGAGATGAAGAGGACGAAGATGAAAGCCATCAAAGTAAGAAAAGGAAGGAAGGTCCGGGGATTTAGCTCAGTGGTTTTGCAGCCTGCTGCGTAAGCGCAAGGACCCGAGTTCGATCCCCAATACAAAAAAAAGGGTAGGAAAAGCAAGAGAAAAATTTTACAGAAAAAGCTATGTACTGGTCTTAGCAGGATGAATGAAAACAGACACCTTTCCTGGAGTCATCTGGTTTATTGTTCTCAAAAGCCACTGTAAAGGACTCCTTATTCCCACTACCATCCCTCTGTTAAAACTAACAAGAAAGTACCAAGTATATTGAGTCATTCGGTTTTTTATTAGTTTGCTTTTTATTTTAAAACTGTTCAAAGGCCGGGGATTTAGCTCAGTGGTTCCGCCGCCTGCCTCTCAAGCGCAAGAACCCGAGTTCGATCCCCAGTACCAAAAAAAAAAAAAAAAAAGGTAAAACTGTTCACCCAGTGGACAGGGGTAAAGCTCAGTAGTAGTAGAGCTTGTTTTTAGCCTGCCCAAGGCTCTGAATTCAGTTGGGAGGGGAAGGAGCTCACCTTAAAATACTAGACCATATTGCCAGGTACAGTGACGCACACCTGTGATTCCAGCACTCAGGAGCCTGAGACAGGAGGATCGCCACTAGTTCAAGGCCAGGCTGAACTATATAGTGAGAGCCTGTCTCAAAAAATCAAAGCAAGGGACTGGGGATTTAGCTCAGTGGTTCCAACACCTGCCTCAAAAGCATAAGGTCCCAAGTTCAATCCCCAGTACCAAAAAAAAAAAAATCAAACCAAACATACATATATTATATAATATATACATATATTTGACAATATGGAGGAGAGAAAAACTGCACATGTTAAGGTTAAAAGACAAAAATTATGTGTTCCTTCCATCTAATGACAAAGGAATAAGACTAAAGTTAAAAAATGTCCTTATAATGGGATAAAGAGGAAAAAAATGTGTTCATAACCATAAATTGTTGTAAATAATGGAATCCTGATTCCTAAAGCTTTAAAAACAGGTTAAGTCCCAGCATTTGGTTTTGGTGGGTTTTTTTTTTTGTACTGGGGATCCAACTCGGGACCTTGTGCTTGCAAGGCAGGCAGCAGCACCACTGAGCTAAATCCCCAGTCCAATCCCAACATTTGGAAGGCTGAGGGATGGAGATTGCAAATTTGAGGCCAGCCCGGGATACATAGTGTGACCCTGCCTCAAAAAATAAAACGAAAAAAAAGACGAAAGAAAGAAAGAAAAAGAAAAACTTTCAAGGCAGCTTGGGGCCGGGAATTTAGCTCGGTGGTTTTGCCGCCTGCTGCGCAAGTGCAAGGACCCAAGTTCGATCCCTGGTACCAAAAATAAATAAATAAATAAAAATAAAACAAAAAGGGCTGGGGCTTTAGCTCAGTGGTTCCACCTCCTGTCTCGCAAGTGCAAGGTCCTGAGTTCAATCCCCGGTACCAAAAAATTTTATAAATAAATAAAATAAAACCAAAAAAACCCCAACAAACAATAGAAGCATGTTTCTATAGTCCAAGCTCCTCAGCAGGCAGTGGCCAGAGAATCACTTAACCCCAGGAGGTAAAGACCATCCTCAACAATGTAGAAATTCCAGTCAGTCAATTAATTAGTAAGTAAGTTGAATGCAAGATGTTTTAGTGTGAAAGCTGATTTTTTTTTCCTGTTTTTTTGAGATAGAGTCTCTAAATTGTTCAAGCTGGCCTTGAACACATTATGTAGTCCAGGCTGGCCTCGAACACACTATGTAGTCCAGGCTGGCCTCAAACTCAGTGATCCTCCTGCCTCAGCCTCCCAAGTGCTGGGACTATAGGCATGCACCACTATGCCTGGCAAGTATGAAAGCTTTTATGTTTTAATTCAGAGAACTGTCTCATCCATATATTCTCTCTCCTCTAACAAGTGTTACTAGGGAGAAAAAGTGCAGGGCTGGTAGAAGTGAGAAGATATTTTTTGCCCATTGGAGCAAATTAGGCAAATGACTGAAATTATTTTTAAATGTCCTTAACCTGACCCTGTCTTCTGTGTTTGCTTGGATCATTTGAAGCCAAGTGGGAAGCTGAGAGTTATTTGACCAGACCCTTGCCCTACTCTACATGAGGTTGAGCCTTTGGCTTCAAGCTTCTCCATTTTTCTTTTCACCTCATACAAAGGTACCCTGGCCAACAAAGTGAAAAGGAAAGACACACTGGCAATGAAGTTGAACCACAAGCCCAGTGATCCAGAGTCAAACTTGAATTCTTGGCCTCATAAAAGCAAGGAGGAATGGAACGAAATACGGCACCAGATTGGGAACACACTGATCCGGTAGGCTTTCATTTAGATTAACTGGATTTGGTTTGATTATGCTGGTGTGTGCATTAGATGCTTACTTTGTGGTGGAGTGTGCATTTATCCTTTTTATTTTTCAGTGTAATTTTTTTTTGGTACCAAGGATCGAATCGGTGTAATTTTTTAAAATACATAATAGACACAGTTGGATATCCTTTATAAATTTGAAAATTAAGGAGTTAATTAGCACTTGAATCTTTAAACGATAGAACATTAGGTTTTGCAACAGTTGCTAAAGAAGCCAGGATATTTTTCAGGGCAGTTACTCTTATCATTTTTTTACCCACTTGTTAAAGCATGAAGAGCCAACCCAGTCAATCACATTCATAGTTTACATGTGAAATAGTCCATGTAACACCTTCCTTTTAAAATATTAGTATATTTTTCAAGTCAGCTGGAACCAAAATTATAGAGAAACTAAATACAGGGCAGCTTCCTACATATTAAATAGGTCCCTGCAAGAATCCAGGTATACAGGTGTTTTCCTGGCACAGATATTTCTTCCAGTAGAGAAAGGATAAGAAAGTAGAACTCTTGGATGGGTCTCTACAAAATAACTTAATAAATATGTCCATTAATTAAAACATTTTTCTTTCCTGCTCTAAACACCTGGCTTTACTGTGCATGCTGCATCTGGAGACAAGTTTGGCCCCTTGTCTTCTAGGAGACACCTTTTGGATCCTGAAACCATTCTCTGTGACTTCTTTACCTAAACATAATGGCCAGGCTGGGCATTTAGTTCAGTGGTTCCACCGCCTGCCTCACAAGCGCAAAGTCCCAAGTTCGATCCCCAGTACTGAAAACTGCCCCCTCCAAAAAAAGCCTAAATAAGTAAATAAACATAATGGCCAATCTGTATACCTTTGTGCTCTGACTGCTGTTGAAATTAAGGGTGATTAGAAGGAAGGGAAGTAGAGGCTTCTCCTTACTCTGACAGTGTCCATAATTCAGAGGTCACCAATCGAGAAGTCAGTTTGGTAGATATACTTGTGTGTATGATACCAAAAGTTCTTTTTAGGAGAAGGTGGTAGGTCTGGCCCTTCACATTTAAGGTTCAGAAATTTATTATCTGTAATTACATACATATTTATTCATTCATTTTATTTTTTAAAATTTCAACCTATAGAAAAGTTGAAAAATATATACCTTTCACCTGGAATGGTTAACATTTCCATATTTGCTTTAGTGGTTATTGAGCTCACTTTCTCTGTAAATGTATACTTTTATACGTTCTTTTCTTTTTTCCTAAAGCTATTTGAAAATAAATTGTAAACATTGTAATTCTTTTTTTTCCGTTACTGGGGATCAAACTCAGGACCTTGCACTTGTAAGGCAGGCTCAGCAGCACCACTGAGCTAAATCCCTGGGTCCCTCAACATTGTAGTTCTTTACTCGTAAGTACTTTGGCATGTGATCTTGTAAGAAAGACATTCTCTTACATACTCACAGCATACTCACTTACCAAATCCAGGAAATGTAATATCAATACAATATTTTTATTTAGTATACTATCTATATTCGATTTCATTAAACACCCCAATAATATCTAGTTTTTGTTGTTGTTTTTATAGTAATGGGAATTGAACTCAGCTTCACACATGCTAGGCGAGCATTCTGCCACTGAGCAACATCCCCAGCCCTTTTCGGGTTTTTTTGGTTTTGGTTTTTGAGACACAGTCTCCATAAACAGTGTAGACTGGCATGGAACTCAAAATGTTTCTGCCTCAGCCTCCCAAGGGCTGGGATTACAAGCATGTACCACTCTGACCCATTTTTATTTTTATATTTTTTTTGTGCAGGATTTTTTAAATAATATGATGTGAGGATTAGTGACATTTCCCCACATTTTTTCATTAGTACCTATTGGTTTTACAGATTAATGGATTTTATTTTGGCAGACAACATGCACATGGATACTTTAACCACCTCCATCCCCATCCCCATCACCTTCCTTGCCGCTCCCCCCAGGGTTTCAATGTATATAATGCTTTTTATTTATTTATTTATTTGGTACTGGGGATTGAACCTGGGTCCTTGTGCTTGCTGGGCAGGCGGCGGAACCACTGAACTAAATCCCCAGCTCCCAGGTTTTTATTTTTTTAAGACAGGGACTCACCTGGTACCCCAGGCTGGCCTGGACCTCACTCTGTATGCCCACACTAATCTTCGTTTTGTTTTTTAGTTTAGTTTTTTTTTTCTGGAACGGGGGATTGAACTCAAGACCTCACGCTTGCCAGGCAAACACAGCATTATTTTTAGTTTTCTGAGACCAGGCTCTTGCTGCATAGCGTAGGCTGACCTCAAACTCACAGCTACCCACCTGCCTCAGCCTCCTAAGTAGTAGGATTATAGGCATGTGCCACCACACTCAACTTACCCCAGGCTAA